TGCAACTTCTCCTTTCATCATGCTTCACATTTTGACACCATGGCTGCATCTGACCACTTTAGAGGGTCATCTGCAGGTTTGCAACAGAGATAGAGAGAGAGACTGGAAGACTCACAGAGAGGTAGGGAAGTGCACATACTTTTTTTAATTTGAAATTTTGAAAACTTATTCTGAAATCCTACTTTGAATTTACAATAGCAACCCTTTCATGCACCCCTGTAACCTGATAAGATGATTAAGCTGTCCACTGTAGTCAACGCTGTCCTTGAAAGGGTTAAATGACTACAAACCAGGCTTCACCTCCCAAAAATGAAGTCACAACAGTGACAGAAAACTCAAAAAATGCTTTCGCTTGGTTGCCAGTGCACCTGCACCTTCGGATTAGTGCTTTATTATTCGTCATCATTCATGAAATATTGATAAATATGAAGAAAATTTGGACTTAACCCTTTACCGTGACTTACCTTTTTTTTAATGCCAAGATATTACCCCCCACCCCGAGAATTTATTGCAGCTTTAAAACTTGAAATGAACCCAAAACAAATTGACGAGAAAAAAAGATTGAGCTCACTTATGACTAGTTCTTCGCTGTCTCAATTGTCTATGTTGGTAAATATCATCACCTGCCTACTGGAATCAGTCGAGAGTGCGATGATGCAATATTTGCACAAGACCTTCAAAAAAAAAATTTTTTAACGTGTTCAATCGGAATCGGTGTTGTAATGTGGTGGAGGGATTTTCCAAGTGAGATAAATAGCAAATTATCTCTGGTTGGAGGGGGGTCCAGGATACAAACCAATGATCGTAAGTGGCTATGCCGAGGAGGTTCGTGTATACAAACGTGTAACGCCTGCGGCTTCAAGTGGGTCTTTTTTTTTTTTTTTTAACGAAAGCGCCTCGTGCGAGGACTGTTACTGTAAACAAAGGCATGTCCTGTGAGCATGTTTTCCCTCCTCACCCCACCTGCAGCCACTGACACGTTTACTACTGTTTGCATGCAAGATGGCCACTGCTGTCATTTTCGGCAGTTGGCCTCATAAATATCAAATTCCTTTTTTTTGCATTCCGCGGTGAACATTTGCAGGGGCGCGAAATGGGCCGAACTGTCATCAACCCCTAGAATTGGGCTTGTCAGAATGTATATTTTTGTTATTGTTGTTGTTGTTGTTATTTAGCATATCGTTTTGGCTAATTCGGCGTTTTGGCTAATTGGTTTTGTTTGTTTTGAAAAACGGAACGAATTTTTTTCACGAGTTGGACTTGGCCTCCCTCTAGTGGTACACAAAAGAAAGACAATTTAGTTATATTTAACTTTTAAGTTCACTATTTTTGGGCGCGATCTTTTTTTGTTTTTTGTTTGTTGTTTGTTTTTAGTTGGTAATCATGATGCTAACTTTCATTTACTTTTCATATGCAGTATATTTGAATTGTTTAAATAGTTATTTTATTGCCCAATGATGTAGCACAGTGTACATGTTCAAATTACATATAATGTTGTAGCGACTCAAAAAAAATATATATTTTTAGGAATAAAATCAATTTCTAGTTTTTAATGAACACGACTACGCTAAAATATTTTTTTTACATTGGGGGTACGAGTGTAAAACATTAAAGAGTAGATTAATGAAGTTATTGCAAATAATAAAAAAAACACAAATGCAATATACATTTAAAAATGCATTTTATTCAAATTGTGATAAAAATTGTCAGAAAATGTTTGAAAAATATGTCGGTTTTAGAACTTTTCAGGCACTTGAGCACAAAAATCTGCCGCAGCTTCCTCCACTGTGTGTTAAACTAAAAATTGCTGCCCCCTAGTGAATCTGTTGCGACTTCAACAGTCCTCTGAACCAAGCTGCCAACTTCCCATCAGGCTGATTCCTACAATAAAAAAATACATACCAAGGCCTTGTCATCATATCAAAATCAGTTATATGAAGTCAGTAATATTTTTTTTCTTCTGCTGTGATGCAACTAATCAACACTGATGATGTAACAGTACATCCGCTTGCCTTTGTGTATAGGCGGCGTGTGTTCAGTTCCCGCTTTGTGACTTTGTGAATGTGAGTGCAAATTATTTAATACACCACAGTGCGCTAACTCGATACTACCTATCTTATCACTAAAATACATTAAAAAGTTCTTCAATATTTCATGCCAATGTTTGTATGTTAAAGTGAAATACAACTGAACTGCACTCGGGCAGTAATTCCGTCGCTTACCACAAGAGGGAGCCCGCATTTTGAGATCATGTAATAATGTAACCAATCCTCTCAAATGATGTCAAACTCGAGCAAAATGTGTACAAAATTCAGTTTCATTTAACTCCTGCTATGGGGTGAAATAGCTTTTAATTGTTCTTTCTTGTCACTATACATTGTTGACATACATAAGTGGACAAAGTTATGTGATTTCTAGTACATAAATTTGTAATTTTTAGATTATTTAAGCATCCGGTTGGAACATATAGTTACTTTGAGATTCATATTTCAGCAACAACGCTTTGCGGTATCTTTCCCAGGATGTTTTGGGTATAAACAGACATTGTCACATTTCAAGATTAGCACTAGTTTACTGTCCACACACCGACGACATATGGCGCCGCTCTAGTTTCAACACAAAGTGGGTTTCCGCGTTCAACCCTCTTCGACAGTCACGAGGCGCTCAAGTATGCCTTTCGGTTCCTGCACCACGCTTCACCTGGTTTGAAAATGTGATGCTGGTTGTACAAGAGACCTCCAAACCACATCCCGTCTATTTGTTGGCGTGCAGGAAGTCACGAGTGTGTTGCATCCTGCAGAGCAGCGCACCGTGGCCTCAGTTGGGCTACACTTGTAAATAGCACTGACACCCGGAGACACCTTTGGAGGATTATTTCTATTTATATGTAGAAATAGATGACGCTCGACAGCATTTCTACACTGCCTGAATAGGCAGTTCATGTCCCATGCAGTGCAAACTACAAGGGATACATTTAAATGTTATATTCAGAATGTAGGGCAACTTAAAATCTCCAATTCCCACTATGGGTGGAAGACATGTGCAATATTATGCAAAATTCTGGTGACATAATAAAACGGTAAATAGTAATGAGATGAACCCTTTCAGGGACAGCGGTTACGACAGTGGACATTTTATCATGTTAGCAGGTTATAGGGTGCATGGAAGGGTTCATTATCCATTAGTGTACAACAATAATATTCCTGGGACACTTTGACCCAAGGTGTGTTTAATTTTTCAAAAAGTGTCAGAAATAAATTAAAAAAAAAAAAAGAACGACTTCATTCAAAACTCCGTTACTTACCATTTCAATTGATATTTTGTGGATTATTTTGCACTTGCTTATACATTTCAGATACATTTACTTTATTGTTTTATTTTTATTTTATTTTATTTATTTTTTGTTCAGTGGGACATTTTTTGTATCTTTTTTTCCACATTTAAAAAAATCCTTAATTTTGGGATTCGCATGTTATTTTATACAGCATTTATGCATCATTTGGTCCCTAAAAAGGTTCTATATGAACACATAAAAGAAGTTATTGTTATTATTATTATTATTATTATTAGTAGTAGTAGTATAGTAGTAGTAATATAAATTAACGAGAGAGAGAGATCTCTTTTGTTCCCGGTTCAAATTGAGCCACTGACTGCTCTTGTCTTACTCACCATTTCACTGTCGCTGGCAATTACTCAAGTGCGGCTCAAGGTTGAGATAAAGTGCAAATATCACAACCCGAGCCGGACCTCCCTTTAAAGTAAAAGGCACCGCTGCTATCTCCGGATAAAGACGTTTTTGGTCAAGTGTCAAGCAGCTCATGTGAGAAACTCTGCTGCGGAGAGCATCAAGAAAACAAAACAAAACCAAAAAAAATGCACCCTGTCATGCTTGAGCCTGTTTTAACAAGCGGGTGATAAGGACTTCGGGTCACAGGTGATAACTCGGGAAGTGTTGGAATTCTCGTGAGCGTGCGGCGACGCTGACAGCCGAGGACACGCCATGCGGATGTGGACCTTCAGGCCTTCCTCTCATTCCATTGACATGTTATCCGTCTACGTACAACGGCATGACATCATCGGGTCAAAGTTTCCTCTTCTACCTTGTGTTGCATAATTGAGGTCTTCATAGTTCACAATTCAACCAAAAGGTAAGCAGAGCTGCGGTAAATAAAAAGCTGTGGTGCCATTGTGTGGTATCTTGGTGCCAAGGAACTGTGTGAGTTGAGGAGCTTCATCCAGACCAAAAGTAGTGTTTTGCTGCCATCTTGTGGCATCCGGAGGCAATTATAAATCTTTTTAAGAGGTTGACAATTATGTAGCAATTTTTATTCTTACTCTTTGCGGGAGGGCTGAATTCCTAATACTGTTAATTGCAACTACAGCTTGATGAAAATAAAACAAATATTAATAAAAACTGCTTGGGCAAATGACACCAAATTTGCATATAGTCTCCCATAAACAAATACCTTTCCGAAAATGTTCATCAAGCTAATATGTAGCCACCTAGCATTGAGACCGAGTTCCATGTGACAAGAGTCAACACAGTTTTTGCTGTTGGGGTGACAGTGTAGCATCTTGAGAAAAATAAAGATAATATTTATAAACCTACTTCTCTAACTTCGGATCCGCAAACTTATTGATCCAGTGGAGCTCGAAGTGCTGCCTCCATGAGGAAAAAAAAAGCCCATGCTGTCTTTGTGGGGAGCTTGCTTGTGCATGCTCACCATTGGTCCAGCAATATATGGGCGTGACCAGTGACGCAATTGCATGAGACAGGGCCGCCCCCTCAAAACAGGCTAGTTTCAGCAACACAAAAGAGGGGTTAATAGAAAGACTGTACCTATTCATCCTTGGGATATTTTGACCAAGCACTCCAAAGAAATGTTAACAAACATGAGCAATGATTTAAAATTTCTAAAAACATGCATAAAATGTTTTAAAAATTGATTGTGAACATTGAGCGGCCCCTCCCTAGAAGTCCGTACTGCGCAGACTCGCGGCTCTTGGCTGTCAGGGTAAAGCGGACTGACAGTATGGCGGCGGCGTACAGCTGGAAGGATGCTACCATTGCCAGCGGTGTGTCCGTCGCCGGCAGGACGTAAATGGACTATTGAAGGAACCCAGAGAAGAGGAATAAGCGCGAGAGGCCCGTCGCCGTGAACGCCCGCCATGGCCAGGCTCGCCGACTACTTTGTGGTGGTCGGTTACGACCTCGACAAGCGAGGTGAGTGCCGCTGTTAGCCGCCTAGCATCAGCGGCCTGTTATTAGCATCGGGGGAGTAGTAGGCGGGGATGGGCCGGGTCGCCAATCACAACTCGCCGGCTGCGGTGGCTGTCGGACGGCCTCTTCGTCAACTTTACACCGAGGACTCACTGGCTGCTCGGGATTAGTGTGCTTAGTTCCCAGCCAGCCTGACAGTTTCTCTTCGGCATTTTTGGAAGTGTCACGTCTAAAATGCCTCCCTCAACGCCTGGCTGTTAGCTTTTAAACACAGCTCGAACGTGAAGCTGTCTGCTAATGTTGACAGTCAACTTAAAACCAAGGAAGAGCTAATGTTAGCCGGGGGACTGTCTCTCGGTTCGGCTGCGTCCCAAAACGGATTTATTTATTCACCTGTTTTAATGCATTTTTTTGCATCGTGCCAACGTGTTGCATTTATTGCTTGAATTGAAATCGTCAGTGTTTCGGTGGCAGGGCTTCAAGCATCCACCCCCCTCCCTACCCCCCGGGCTTCAAGCATCCCCCCCCCCCCCTCCCCCCCCCCCCCCTAGAAAAGCTCCTCAGATTTGTGCAAACTGCAAATCGATGCTTTTCCCTTTGCTCCGTGGCTGATTGTTGTGTGTTTTGTGTGGAT